GCAGGCGCTTTTGCCGCTGAGCTAAATCCCCAGCCCCACACCACACTTTTCAAAATCAGGCACAGAAAGAAGGGTACCATTAGGATTGTAAGGCAGGGTGCCAGGCACCAAACACTTGTGAATTCTAGACCTTTGTATGGGTTCAGTTGTGTCCCTTTCCCAAAAAAGTTATGTTGAATTCCTAAACTCAAGTACCCTGGTTGTGACTTTATTTGGAAACAGGGAAATTGCAGATGTAACTAGTTAGGATGAGCTCATGCTGGAGTACAGTTGGGCCCTAATCCAACATGACTTACCAGTCATAAGAAGAGGCGAGACACAAAGTGAGGAGAGAGGCACGTGAAGTCAGAGGCATGCAGTGAAGATAGAAGCAGACTAGAATGACGCGCCTACAAGCCAGTGAATGCCAAGGATTGCTGGCCATACTGCAGCTAGGACAGCAGCATGGGACAGGTCCTCCCTCAGAGCCCCCAGGAGGAAGCAGCCCTGCTGACACCTTCAGTTCCAGACTTCTGGCTTCCACAACAGTGGAAGAGCTAACTTTTGTTTTAACCACTCAGTTGATGTGGTACTGTGTTAAGGCAGCCATGGGAAGCTAAATGACCTGCTCTGAGGAAGGTGTCTCTCTAGGGAAGAAGCCGGTAAACTTCTGTAAAAGACCAGACTGTAAATAATTTTTCAGGCTTTATTGCAACTACTTAATTCAGAGAAGTAGTTAGTTATAGATAACATGTAATATTACATATTATCTATATGTAATATCGATAATATATAATATAGATAATATGTAAACACATATTGGAACACATAGGCTGTGTTCCAATAAAACTGTATTTATAAATGCAGGCTACAGGCCAGATCTGGCTCAGAGCTACAGTCTGCTGACCCTTGTTGTAGAGGAATCATTTGGCAAGTGACCTAAAGTGGTAAAATGTGTAGCAGCTGTTCCCTAGTCAGTGAAGATTCTGGTGTTGAACTTAAGCCTTGCCTTGTTTATCCACAGATATTCATGAATGATGTGCTTGTATTTGGACCTGGCAATGCATGAACTCCATTTGGAAACAGCCTGTCGATTAGGGTTAGGAAATTGCTTTTATGAAACTATACACTTGCTTATGAATTACAGGAAAATATTCTTGGGTTTTGCTTGCTCTCATTCTAACATAAAGAACTTTAAACTGCTCTTGTACCATACATAAGATGATGCTGATGAGAAGAAAAACATGAATGGTGGAAAGAGAGCACCCAACACCACGAGCACTAGGCTTTGCAACACCCCGTTGCCAGCTGGGTCTTCCCACTTGATCTCAGGTTTATTTACTTACTTTGCATTGTTGAGTTTCTCTTCATCATTCAGGTTTTCTGTCTTCAGAAGGTCATAGTTAATGGAACCTGGCTGGATGGCATCAATGAGATCCAGAACAGGAAAACTTGTACTAATCCTCGGGTCCTATGGAGAGCAAAGGGGAGGGCTTTTGTCAACTCATCCCAGGGTTATTTCTATTCAGCTTGAGGGAAGAGGGCGGTTTTCCCTTCTTAAAGATGAAATGTACACAGCCTTATCTGCCACAACATTCTACATGGTGTTTCAAACTCACTGTAGTGAGTTCTCTAGGACTATCAGTAACTTCAGAGAAAACAGTCCTCCCAATAGCAGGAGGCATTTCCAGATGATGAATGAAAGGAAGTTAGAACAACTACAGAAAAACACAAAGCTTGAAACATGTCTTTTACCTAAGGTTTATACAATAGTAGAGTAAATGAAGGAATGATTTAAAAAGGAAATCATCAAGCTATGCATGGTAGTGATTCTGGCAACCCCAGCACTCTAGGAGTCTGAGGCAGGAAGGTTACAAGTTTGAGTCCAATGTGGGCAAGTTAGTGAGACTCTATCTCATAAAAGGTGTTGTGTGTGGGGGGCATTGGGGATACAGCTCAATGCAAAAGCCCTGCATTCAGTCTCCGGTTCTGCAAAGAAAAAAACCCACACACATAAAATAACATCAGAAAGGAGAGACTAATGATGTCAGAAGATCCTGCTTCACATGGGGAGCAGTGTGAATGGCAGGGATAATGGTGAGGGTGCAGGGGCAGGAGAACCAAAAGATGCTCTTTCCCTGGAGACTTCAGGGAAACCAAACAGCCATTGCCACAGAAATAGCAACGACAATGATGTGATTAAAAATACCAACAGTAACTACTATTTGCTGGGGCCTCACAGTTTTCCAGTGTTCTCACAGGTTATCTCACTTGACTGTCACTGCAGACTTAGATATAAACATCTAGCTAATCTTTCAGGGGGTGGAGCTCTAACTTGATTTTTCAAGTTTATTTTTTTTCATGGACACAAAATTTTATATATTGGTGCTGGGGATGGACTCAGGGCCTCTCACACATGCTAAGTGCATGCTCTCTCACCTCCAGTCTCCACATTTAATGCTAATTTATTGAGTAGGAGTGTCTGAGGTTGAGCGCCTCACTGGGAAGTGGTAGAGCTGGGACTTGAACTTAAAATTCTGGCTTAAAGTCCTGGTCTCTTTTGCATTTGACGCTCCTGCCTAGACTGCAAATGAACCTTGGATGTGAATGACAAACCTCTGCACCATGTGTTCTTTTGTCTCCTGCTCCAGGAGAAGACCATAGTCTGGGAGACCTGTGAATACAACTGTGTATCCCCAACAAGGCACGGTTAGGAGCAATCATGCATTAAGGGTCTGAATCTGCATAAATTCTAAGCAAGAAACAAGACCCTGGAGCCTCACCAGGTGCTAGTTTTCTAATATCAGCCTTTCTGTATAGGTACAATAATAGTTTTTAATAACTATCATGGGTCCATTTTATTTCTGCTTGGATAATAACAGAACCACCACAAAAATAAAACAAGACAGAACCACAATCCAATTTCCATCATTAACCTTGGTGTCTGTCTCCATAGAACCTTTTGAGGAAAAACAAGGAAAAACAAAATTGGGAAACTGAAATCTTCCTTCCTGCTCCTGGCCCACAGTTTTGTGGAGGTGCTGAGAGGCAGAGAAGCGGCTGTACCTGGTAGCAGAGATAGATAAAGAGAGACTAGGATTGTCCCCAAAAGGAAAACAGTGACAGCCCACCTCACAATGTCTGTGAAGAGGAACTTCTGAACAAAGCCCCTGGAACTCAGAGTACATTAGCATTTGGAGCTCCTTTTGACTTTTCTTTCTGGAAGGATCTGCTAACTTCAGCCACCAGTCTCCACCCCCACCTCTGTATAGCAATTCAGACTGAGCAGTAAGCTTGAGGTAGAGCAGGGGTGGCCATTATCTGCGACTAGCTGGTAGCTGGTAGCTGGTGGATGCACCTGGGACAGCCCTACCCAGATCCCCCTCCACTCCTCCTGATAGGAAAAGATTTTCATTTTCTTTTAACTTTTATCAGAGAATTGATATCATGATGTACTGCCTCATTCACCCTGTCAGGACAACTCTGAAGGAGTCTCTCCCTGCATCCTGACTTTTACCCTAGAGAAATGTAGTTAAGATGCATAGACACCATTATCATATGGATCTAGTACGTCCCTTAAGGAAGAATCCAGCTAATGAATGAGTTAAGAAATTTAATAAAATATAATGCTCCTATTAATAAAAGTAGGTTTTGGATACATCACATGGGAGATCTTTTATCATTTTACATTTCACTATTAGAATGTTAAAAACCTGACCCATGGAAGTGTGCACATATTGAAGAAATATCTCATGTTACTTTGAAAGAACAAGGTCTACAATGATGTGTTTAAAATGATGTGTTTTTTAAATTAAGTGTTATGGGAGAGAGTGACAAGAAGATTGTCAGTGAAATGGCCAATGAGCATTAAAATACTAATGGGTCATTTCAGAAAAATCAAAATGGGAGAGGGCCTCAGCTCTAACACTGAAGGTCACTTAATAGGTTATGAAAACAATAAAGATAAGTATAGAGCTCAAATGGCCTCTAACAGAAGACCAGAAATTTTACCTTGAAACTAGAGATGGATGAACCTTTCTCTGCTTCCTTCAGTGTTTCATTCACCCAGTTGACGATAATATCATCATTGACCTTCTGCCCACCACCAATATCTTCGAGGATATTCAGTGTGTACCTGAACCAAATCAAGAATGATTTCTGGAGATTAAGTTGCAAAACTATTTAAGAGGGTAGAAATTTCTTTTCTTAAAAGGACACATAATAACATCAGATCCTTTTATAGTAATTTAAAATGGAAACATATGGTTGTTGTAATGAAAAGCAAAGCAAATACCTTTCTTTAAGCACTGGGCAGGAAGAGCAAGAAGAAGTTAAAAAAATGTGAGAGATGGAAAATAAAGCAAAGGACCCCAACCAGTGATACTGTTCCTAAAGGAACCATAAAAATCAAGAAACGACTCAATGTTTGAAAAGCCCCAGAAATGACATGATAAAGGGAAAATATAAAGGAATTTCTTATATAAATAAAAATGTTAGGAGGCACATTAGCCTACCAGTAAGATGTACCTTAGATACATACTAATATTAGTGTCGGAGATTTCTTAAGAGAACATTTATTAAGAAGATGCCTCAAGCCCTTATAATTACACGGAGCGGAGAAGAGTCACCATTCCCTCCAGCTACTGCCTTCCAGAAAGGAAGAGAGGCAGGAGCTAGCAACAGGTGTTTGTTGACCTCCCGGTTCAGGTTGATGAGAACCGTCAATTGCTCATGAAAGACCTCCAAGGGCTGCAGTCGCAGTGTACTATTCTCAAACTGAGAGTTAGGAGGCCATGACTGAATGTCCCCTCGGCAAGGGCCTGCTGAAATAAAGTCTCCTCCACGTGATGCCCCAGGAGTTTGCTTACATGATCCAGTGGCTACCTTCCTCCAGTTACCGCCTCTACACAAAGCCCAATTCTCCTGTGATTCTCCACACGGATGTCAAGTTTAATACTTGAAATAAGAGCAGTGTCTCACTTTTTCTGTGTTAAAACAGCTTTCCAGGGTTGTACGTGGAGAGCAAGATGGCCTCTGCAATTTTTTTTCATGAAAAAAATCACATTTACTAACCCAGTACTGGGCTTGGCATGGAGGTGCATGGCTGTAATCCCAGCACTTGGGAGGTTGAGTTAGGAGGATCACCTCGAGTTTGAGGTCAGCCTGGACTACATAGTGAGACCCTGCCTCAAAAAACCAAAACCACAACCAAAATAACCAGTACTTATATCTGCTCAATGATCCCCCCCAAGTCTCTCCCAAATCAAATGGTTTCTCTTCATTCTACTTTTCCTCCTTACAGAATTTCCTTTCCACAGTATAGTTCTGGCCATGTCATTCGAAGTGACTCTCCACAGCCCAAAGGACACACGTCAAATTCCTCTGTGAAGCTTATAAACCCTTCACAATTTGGGTCTGCTGTCCTTTTTCAACGCATCTCGAATTTTCTTCTTTCCTCCCTCTTCTTCATCCAATCTCTTTCTCTCTTGCTCTCTCATGTTTCAGCCACACAGAACCACAGGAGCTCCTCACCACCACCATACATCTGCCTGCCTCCTGCTTCCAGGACTGACTACGCTTGCTTCCTGGGATGTCCTTTGCCTCTAGTGAATTTCTAATCTTCGGAGTAACTCTCAGCTCAGGCAGTAGATTAATTAGTATCATTAACTTACTTTAAAACCCTTTTCCAGAATTTCTGATGGAGATGATGTCCACTGTGACCCCTTGGATAAGATCCAGGAACCCTGCTCATCATTGTGTTTTCGGGGGGTTAGCAGAGCATCAAATAGTAAATGCTGGGCATTTCGAGGGTACAGTGGTGGGTCAAACAAATAGAGTGACTTTTTCTCAGGGAAAATAAGAGAACAATGAAGAGAGAAAAATGCTTAGTTTGGGCTGAAGGATGGAACCAAAATGCTAAGGAATAATAAGCATACAAGATAAATATCCCAGGTAGATTTTTTAAAAAAAAATCCTAGTTTGAAAAAGATCTGCCTTTGGTTTGTTCACAAAGATTATGTTTTATGGCATAACTGGCCTCTGGTTACATTATTAGCATTTAGCATAACATTTAAGAATTTCAGCCCAATGAACTGCTCAGGAAGAAATGGCAGGTCAGTGCTTACTTCATTAGATTTTCTCTATGTATAACCTAACGGAAGAAGCTAAATGGAATCTTCTCACAGTTTTTTCTTCATCAGGAGTTCCAGCTCTACTCTGCTGAAACTGAAGCGTCTTCTACCCATCTCCTGAATTTGGAAACTAAATGGTACAGAGAGGACTCTCACCTTTATACAAAATGTGTCTGCAAAAATAAAAAGCCACCTAGAAACAGAGATCCTGACTGAAGTGCTGAATATTCTTGAGGCAGCTTACTGTGCCTTCTGGGTTTTAAGAACAGTCACTCATGTATCACAGAATTTTGGTGCACACAAAACAGTCTTGCTGCCACCTCAGGTGAGAAAGAAGTTTAAAATGGAAGTACACACTCACTTGTAAGTTTAATAACAAAAACTAAAGGGAAGAAAGAGTAAAACAGGCTAGAGTCTCAATTCTACAGTCTCCAATAAGCAGCTATTCATCCATAGGTGGATTTGTAATGCAACTAATTGCTAAATTTTGTAAGCGAAACTAATTTGGACTCTGTCTACCAAGATTTTTCCTTGTAAGTCAATTAACCTTTATTGTCAAACATGTTTTGGGGCAACTGTGCTCTTTCAGGTGGAAGCCTGCCCTCTAGATCTCAGTATAACTGGTGCTTGCAAAATGTGCTGCGCTGAGAAGCCCTTTGTCAAAATGAAACAGCATGATGTGCCCCAGCCTAGCCCATCCGTCATCTGACAAAAGAGGATGGACACGATGTGGACGTGAAGGTCCGGGAGGGTGGGATTACTACCTGCTCGCTTTCCTGCCTTCTCACACTTGTTCTATTTATTTAACATTCGGCACAGAGGGACAAGCCTCAGTGTTTTGTTTGCCAAGGGTTTCACCATCCGTAGCCCATGTGATTGCAGGGAATAAACTTGCTTGCCTGCTTCAGACTCTGCTCATTTGCTTGACTCTTAACAATTATTGCCATCTGCTGACAGCCTCCTTGTTTCAGGCTTTTGTCTCCACATTTATACACACAGACTATTCACCAGCTGTCCAATCTGAGAACAATTTCCATGAGCTGAAGGAAAAAGGAAGGCTTAAGCATACATCTCCCCTTTGTTCTCGAGGGGAGGCTGATATGCCATTTATTGTCCAGATAAATGATCAAATTAGAACATTGGTGCAGTCCAGTGAAACAAATTCCAGCTAGAACTGATGTAAATTTAATAGGTCTGTTAATATTTGGCATGCAGAGAAAAGAAAATAGAAAGAAATGAAAAAGTCCCTTCTGGAGCTATTTACATAATTACCACTCATTTCTTCTCCTTCAACAGTAATGCATTTCTCTCCCATGTACAATGCTTATGTAATAAACATTCATAAAACATAGGATCAATCAGGTAAAGGTTGGAACATCAGACTAGACCTTACCATATATATACCAGCCCTTAAGTAGTGCTTTGGGTCACATTTCTAAAACATCCAAAACAAAGATCAAGTTACAAGGTGATTTTTATTTAGTTTTTCTCTTTTTTTTTTTTTACAAGGTGATTTTTTAAGATTCTTTTATGGAATTTAAAACAGAATAGAGTGGGTCTGAATTTTTTATCATTAAAATATAATATCTTAAAGACTGTTTTGTAGTATAATCCATGAGTGAATTTAAGTGTTTTGACTAAAAGGACATTCACTTTCCAATGGGCACTTGCCAATCCCAGCACCTGGGGAAGCTGAGACAGGAGGATCACCACGAGTTTGAAGCCAGCCTGGGCTTTGCAAGCATGTTCAAGGCTGCCTGTACCACATAGTGAGACCCTGCCTCAAAAAAAAAATTCAAAAAGGGCATTTACTTTGAGTTTTAAAGGAATTAGTACCAAAAGGCAACCTACTAAGAATTAAAGAAACATAAAAGAAAATTGAAGATAGTTTCTGGAAATACAGGAATGATTCTTAGGATCTTTCAGTGGTGCCCTAAATATATGTAGTAAACAGAAGATAGAGTTCATTAGCTCTGGAGCTTTCTGTTCTGGGGGACTTCACAGGTCTGCTTTCCATCATTAAGGAGACCTCAGTTTTAAGATGGATGGAAGAGCTCTATATTTGTTTATGAGTCAGGTACTATAATCTATTGTAATCACTGCTGGTTATCCTACACCATCTGGAAACACTGGCATAAATCCATCAAGAACGAATCATGAAAATTGGGATCTGCAGATAGTGGGGCTAAAGCTCAAGTGTCTTAGGGACTATAAACGTTGCCTTTACTATGACCTTGATAGACAGAATGTAATGTGACATGTAGTTTGGTGTCTTTCTTCCAGGTAGAAAACTATGGTCACACTAACACAGGCTTTAACTGAACAATGTTAGACTTCTACCTATTCAGATAAATTGGTGTAGAGGGAAGGAGTAAAGCATTTAAAAGTAAACTGTTTTATACTTAGAGGGTTGTTCAAAATCCTTCCTAGGCTCATGATTTCATACCAAAATTGTGTATTTTTCTTATAATCTGTTATCTATTTGCATATCTTACTGTATTTTATTATTTAATAACTAATATCACCAATAGTCCTCACATTAGTTGAGTTTACATTTAGCTACAAAAGGTATTTAAAGTCCCCTGTTACAGTTATATCTATGGAAGTTCTTTAATAGAGATATCTTTAAATAGAGAACATTAAAAAGACTTGTACTTGGGGCTGGGGATTTAGCTCAGCGGCAAAAGCGCCTGCCTGGCAAGGGCAAGGTCTTGAGTTCAGTTCCCGGTACTGGAGAAAAACCAAAAAAAAAAAAAAAAAAAAGACTTGTACTTTTGGGCATGATGGACTAAGAGGACTTAAACCCCTAATACACAATGAAAAGCATACAAAATAAAGTTGTTTGGACACTGGACAACAGGAAGTACAGCACAGAGGTTCCTAAAGAAAGGAAAGTAAGGACGATGAGCTCTAAGATTGAACTAGCACACAGAGACTTTCCAGGCTGCAGCGCAAGGAGGAGAAACCCAAACAGGGCAAAACCACTCCCTGACTGGAGGTAACCGGGTTGAGAATGCTAGGAAGTCAAGTTATGTAAACTTCATGGAACAGGAAAGGAGGGGAAAGAACTGCATGGAGACAAGAGAGTCATTTAGAAAGAAATCCCAGGCCAGGGGTATAGCTCAGCGGCACAGAGCCTGCCTGGCAAGTGTGAGGTCCTGATTTCGATTCCTGATACCAAAAAATAAAAATAATAAATAAATAAATAAAAATCCCCAGAGATCATCAGTAGTTTTCTTCAAATCTTTAGCTGATTACTGTTTCATGTGTGCATGTGAATAAACTACTAGAGGCAATGAGATAACACATCAGAAATAAGCAGGGAGAACAATCCTCAGAGTTCACACTGGGCTAGAAATATTTGGTTCCCACCATTTGGAGTGGAAAGATTTCATAATGCATGGAACATCATGGAAAGTACTCAGAAGACATTATTTCAATAATAAGAAACAAAATGAGCTCTAGATTAATTAAACTCAAAGGATGAAAATAGATATAAGTAACCTAACTCTGGCACAGACAAACTTCAAGAATACTGAAAGAAATATACAAATATCCATTACACAGCAAGGAAAAGTTTACAGTGTCTGGAATGTAAAAAGAAATCAGAAAATATGCCATATTGAGGATAAAAGTTTAGTAGACATAGAACAAGAAATAACAGTTATTACAATTATATTCTACATGTTCAAGAAGATGGAGGAAAGAGGACAAATGGAAAAGACTCAAAATTTATAGACATGGAATTATACAGATAAAATATATACACTGGATGGGGTTAATAGAACATAAAACATGTGGGAGGGAGAGATATTAGTGAAGTAAAGACAGCAATACACACACAAAATGAAATGTTGAGAGAAAAATGAAACATAGAGGAAACATGGAATAAATAAATAACACATAAGTAACTTCAGGGACAGGTTCAAATGACCTATATGTGAACTTGGTATCTCAAAAACAGGATTGGGTAGGTACAGAAGATACCTTTGAAGAAATAAATGCCAGAGATTTCTCACATTTGACAGAAACTTTAAACCCCCAAATCTAATAAATTCAACAAATCTGAAGCATAATCAAACTGCTTAAAGCCAGTGATAAAGAGAAATCTGAAAAGCAGCCAGAGAAAGAAGACATACTGCACAAGGCGCAAAAAAGAGTGATAATAGATTTTCTTGGAAACAATAGATTTCATTGGAAGAGTGACAATAGATTTTGAATGAAAACCTTCTCCAAAGTACTGAAAAAAAAAACAAAAAAAAAACTACCAGCCTAGAATTCTGTACAAAATAAAAATGAAAGAATCTGACATATAGAAGCTGAAAGAATTCATCAACAGAGTTGTGCTATATGAAATATTTCAAGTAGAAGAAAGGTGATGCCAGATGTAAATCTTAATCTATACAGGAGGAACACAGAAATGGTGAATTATGGAGGAAAATACACATCATTTCCCATCGTTCTTCAAGCCCTTTTAAAGGTAACGCTACTTACACCATCAGTTAAAAGTAAAAGGGGGTGTTGGGGATTTAGCTCAGCAGCAAAGCACCTGCCTGGCAAGCGCAAGGTCATGAGTTTGATTCCTGGTACCAGAAGAAAAACAAAAACAAAAAACAAAAGTAAAAGGGTAGAAAAAGATATGGCATGTTAATCATCAATCAAAACCAAACAGTGGTAAATATATTAATATAAGAAAAAATAAATTTCAGTGAAAAGAATATCATCAGCCATAAAGAATATCACTCTATAATGATGGTGTGATTCATTAAAATGAAACAATAACCCAAAATGTGTATGAACCTCATGACACACTTGTAAAATACCAGAAGTAAAAATAATAAAATTTGAAGGACAAAAAAAAAAAAAATAGGAAAACAAAAAGGATGTCTTTCTTAGTAAGTTTAGCTTAAAACAAAATTTTGGGTATGGTGGTTTAATTTAATCACATTCCTAAAAACTTAACAGTATATTTCTAGGCAAATAAGCCAGCCAATAAAAGTCATTCTCATGAATGCACTACCTTCTCATTAGCTGCCAGATCAAGGCCAACGTCAGAGTGCGGTTTCCTTCATTGAGATCTTGCCCACCAATGCCTACTAGGGAAAACTTAGCTTGATTCTTCCCCAATTCCACTGCATAATTACAATTCTCAAGCTATTGAAGAGAAAGAAAACAATTTAACGTCATCACTTTGACAATGAAAAACACCAAACAAATTAACAAAAAATAAAGATAAAACTGAAAAAATTAAGGTCTGATTGAATGATCTCAAGTCTCAATTGGTTCTGCAATCCTGGGATTCTCAATTATTTAAAGGAGGATTTCCCATGTTTCCTCAAATAGAACCCCTTACTTCTATCCGAAATATTCATAGTGTACTCTTAAGTGCAAAACTAGAATGAATTCACTATTATGAATATTTTCGTAGCTATATACATTGCATAAGTAGACAATGATCCTCAGGTACCTGTCTGTAATATTTCTGAAAGAGCTGAATTCATGGAGATGGACATGGAAAATCTGGATTCTCCATCTTACATACACATAGTGGATGAACATGTAGGTCAGATATTCCTGTGGCTACTCATGGATCATTAAGGGTCACACGGATGAGAAATGGTGGGAAATGGCTGTGCCAACCCTGTTGCCAAACAATGTTCCCACTGTGTTGACAATACACCAACGATCTGTACCTGTCAGTACAAAGCTGTCACTACAAAGCTCCAATTCTTTAGAAAATTAGAATGAGGATCCTGCTGGGAGGGAGAAACCCTGTGGCTCTGCTTGCTCTAATTATCTTAATGAGAATTTTTACACGATAATGTTTAAAGACATCCAATATGGAATTATAAATAAGAAATAATGGACTCACTTTAATAAACTATTTAGGTTCTTGACCGGTGGATAAACACTGCTTATCTGAACTTGACTGCCTGATAAAGTATTCACACAACCTCTTTCCGGTCTTCATCTGCCTCTTAGAATATCAGAATAGTCCTTGCTTACCTTCTTCATATTGCCCCCAAGCTTGGGGTATGGCGGTTTGTTTACCCTGTTCCAGTCAACTGGGACTTTAATCTTTTCATAGAGCTGGAAGATGACCAGGGCATCTGATAAGTCACTAAACAAAACAAACAAAAGAACGTTCAGATATCCAATATTTTATTCAGGGCCTACAGCGGGCCAGGTACTTCCTTATATATTAGCTCTGACAACAATAATAATAACCTCGCAGAATTGATAAGAGTCACTTCATCTTAAAAAAAAAAAAAAGCGTCACTTCATCTTTAGAGAAGAAGAAATTATGATGTAGAGAAATTGGGGAACTTACTTTCCCTGGGTGTAATGAGTTGACTTCGGGAAAAGAGGCATGGCTTTCACAAATAGCACAGGGGACACTTAACTGCCAATTCAAAACTAATTTTTTTCTTGCCTGTTTGTAAGAGGACTATAGGCTTAGTGCATACATTAAATCTGTCATTTTGCTGAGGTCTTACTTGTGAATTAAACACAGTGAGGGGAGTTTCCCAAGGGAACGTCCAACACCTTTCGCCCTCATCAAGGGACACACGTTTTGAGGATAGGTGGATACCACAACAGTGTTGGAAATTCTACGATCTTCGAGGACTCTGTATCTCACAGCAGGAGTGAATTTCTGACTGTTCTTACCTGTACAAATGATTCACTCGAGGGTTTACGCCCAGTGAGTTCATCCAGTTCCGGAACGTCCGCTCTTCTCTTGTTTCACCTAGATGAATGAAGACTGGTTATCTTTTGCACTCCTACAAGATAGGCCATTTATACTACCTAATTTTTAACACAAAAGGCTTCAATAAAAACTGAAAGTAAAATGAAAATAATAAAATATTGGATGTGGATGAGGGTTGCTATTTCAATTCAACAAGTATTTCCATAGCTTTTATTAGTACACGAAAGATCCTTTATAGACTAACTGGGTAGAGTTGGCCTCAAAGACTGGTATTCTTGCTGGAAAAATAACTCTTGAGCACCAAATAGAGACCAGAGAATCTAGAGAAAGAGACAATAGGAGGAAGACATATTTGCTATCCAAGTAGAGACAAAGGAAAGAATAGTAATGGGCTAAATTTGGAGGTGGAATTTAAGCTTGATTTTCAGGGCTAATTGAAGTTGGATATTAATGAGGAAAAAGTAGGAGATTGGGAGTAAGTATAAATGCAAAGGAAGCACAGGCAAGTCTCACTAAGAATGCCAGGAATGATTAGGTGGGGAACTATACAACAGTGTACAAAGATAAGGCTGTCCAGACGCTGGAAACAGAATTGAGGATCTTTGAATGCGGGCAGCAGATTTGCGGTGACCTATTGGACAATGTTCATCATCATGGGTTCTTTTTGTTACTACAGTAAGTTCTTGAGCAAGGCAGATGTATAATGAAAACTATATTGGGATGTGCCGGCAGCAGTGCAGAATTACTGAAAGGGGATAGGTGTTTAAATTAAACATGCAGAGAGCACAGTGTTTGGAACTAGCATGGGAGGACACTCAAGTGTTTGACAAATGAAGGAATAGGTTCCTAATACCTGTTAAAATAATTGGTGTAGAAGGTAATATGAGTTCAAAAGAACAGAGAAAAGGGAAAATAACAATCTAGAAGACATTCTAAATGAAGAAGTGTCAATATTTGTGGATTTAATAAATTAAAGGATTAAGGAGAGAAAGACAGAGTGGAACCCAAGGTCTTCAGGTTTGATGACTAAAGAAAACCAGATGTTATTAAAGAAAATGGAGAATTTCTAAAAGGCAGCAGATGCAATGGGAGGTAGGATAGAAAAACAGTGGGGGGCAGAGGACAGCTAAGGACCAAACTTCAGTGTCCTAAAGGGCAGCTGGAATGGTGATGTGTTCCAAGCACAACACAGAGGTGAGTCATGTGAAAAGGAAATGGAGATCTCACTGACACCTGTGGGTTTATCTCAGGTAGACACTTGATCACAGCATGCCATTGCTTATGTACCCTGCACCCAGACTGATATACACATTTGAGATCAACAAAGTGAATAGAGCCCTGACCATTGCTTGTCAATGATGTAAATGCAGCAGTGTTGCACAGAGGTTGATATTGCATTTCCAACTAGAGTAATATATTTTGGAAAAGAATCAATCAATATTTAAACCTAGATTTCCTTGCTTTTGTGGTGTTCATTCAATATTAATTTTGACTATTTTTTTGTTTTAATTTGTACATTAAAAAAAAGCTGAGGAAACATTTCTGGCACTTTTGTTGAAAGAAACTGACTAGAAACTGACTACAGCTATATGGGCTTTGTCCGATCTCAGGATGTTAACCTAAGATATAACTGTCAGGATTCTGCCTCAAAATATTTTTTGTATGTCTCTAAGAATCTAATCAAAGAAACAAGACAAAAACGAAAACCTCAGTAAGTATATTCTAGTATAAATTAAATACCACCTTAGGTAGTGAGTGGTGTTCATTTTTTTCCTCTAGAAATTAACAGAGTTTATTAAGTACATAAGCTAGGGTTTTAGAGCTCAGGATTTATTTAACCAATAATTAAATGCACTGTCTTCTCTAGAAGACTTAAATTTTAACAATGGATAAAGCCTATGTATGTGGTATAATCATATTTTATTATTCTTGCTTGGCTATAATGGACTTGACTAATTTATTTATTCTCTTTGTTGTATATCATACAGTTGATGGGCTGCTTACACATATGAGGGTTTACATTTGCTCAGGAGGAGAGTTTGAATGGTCATTGAATTAGAGCTGTGTGTGCTTTTCCAAACATTTTAAGCAACTGGTTTACGGTTACCTTCGAGAGCCCCCCAGTCGATGTCCTGGTTCTCTGGTTTGTGCAGGGCAGGGTACTTGTTAAAGAGGTTGGCGATGAAAGCCAAGTTCAGTTTGGGGTTCCCCCGGACCACATCTGTGGCTGTGACAAACTGCCGGCAGCCCAGCCTCTCTGCCTGCTGCAACATGCATTCTGCCCTCTGGATGTCGTCTTTCTCCTGCAGTGAAAAAGAATGTGTCAAGGCTGGGCCACAGTTCCAAGCACAACACAGAGGTGAGTCATGTGAAAAGGAAATGGAGATCTCACTGACACCTGTGGGTTTATCTCAGGTAGACACTTGATCACAGCATGCCATTGCTTATGTACCCTGCACCCAGACTGAAAGGTCACGTAAGAGGTATCTCAGAAGTCGGGTAATTGAGACTTCTTTTTTTTTTTTTTTTTTTTTTGGTACCAGGAATTAAATTTAGGACCTTGTGCTTGCCGAGCAAGGCACTATGCCGCTGAGCTATAACCCCAGGCCTGAGACTTTTCCTCTCCATCCAGAACCATCTGAGATGAATGGTTGGTTGGCTGCTCTGTTGGTAAAGAAATTCAGCAAATTCTGCACTCTTTCCATTTATATTGATTTTAATTATTTTTAGCCATCAAGCTTCCTTTGTATTATTTTCTTGCACAGACTTCATGAGGTTTTGTTTACCAAAAAGTTTATTTAATAATTTATACTATTTCTAATTCATAAAAACCACGTGCAAATTTCAGTAAGAACTGTCAATATCTGATTATATAATCACTTATCCTACACTGAACTGGTGTACTTCAAAGACAAAACAAGTATCAGTCAGTTAACCTACTTCTTGTCACTAATACATAAAATCAATATATAATATCAATTTGGCTTTTTCAGACTTCAAACTGAGAACCACTCCACATATTCAAATGATTCTAGAGAATCTCTAGTCATTAGTAAACAGGCTCTTATAAGACTAAAATTTTGTCAAATATGGCCTAATGTTTATAAACTCTAAAAAACCACAATGTTCAGAAAACAGAATTTTAAATTAGATTTCTTCAATTGATGTTTTACCAGATAATACTATACATTGCACATTTGATGGCCCTTACTTCTCATTTAACTTTATTTCTCACTTAGGAAGGAGCTAACTTCAATAGTACACCCTTGGATTTCATTTCAATGATGTTAAATAAATGAAGCACAAAAACTGACAAGACGAATTCTCAAGATCAATGTCAAACATGGTGGCAAAACTGAAGAATATATTCTTGATTTGACCATTAGCCAATGGAGACAGGTATCAGAATGTTACCGTGTACTCCTTACATTTGTCTAGTTATTGTCAATTAAAATTAAAATAAAACCAAAATTTTAAAAATCTGAAGTTTTAATACTCAGATCTAGTTGGTGTTGAAATGATGGGCATATCGATAAGTGCCTAGCGTGGCAGATGGCACTGAATTAGCATTTGTGTGTTTCCAGATTCACTTTTCCCCAATTATAACTATTAAGAGTTTTTTAATAGTTTCACCAGGATTCAAGCAGAACTCCAGAGTAGGGTCATGCAGAACAACGGAACAACCAACACAATGGCAGTGTCATGTTCTCTAACCACACCAGCGGATGTGTCCTTACCCTGAGTCCTGACATGTCAATAACCACAGCAGGGATACCTTCTTCATCTCCTTTCGGGGCCACCTGCTCAAGCAGGTGGTAATAAGCTTTTGAGTCCTGTGAAAAATTAAGAAATGACAATTGCAAAACAGCACGGCTAATTACATGCTTAGCATGACAATAATTTCCCAAAAGCAAACATTTTATCTCTTATTCCATTGTCATCTAGGAATGTAACTTAATTAACAAAGCTAGAAGCATTCACTAATTTGGATGTTCTACTTGTCCAGTTACATACTTTATTTGTTTTCTCCTTTTAATGAAGTTTAACAATTGAAAATACAAGACACATAAAAGGCAACCCAAAGAAGCAGATATTATTGTGTTTTTCTTATGTGAGAAAAGCAACTTACATATTTAATTGTATACAGGAAAATATATATACCTTTATATTGCTGTAGAAGTCAGTCAGCTAAGGTTTAATTTTAAAAAAAAGTGACAGAAAAAGGAAGCAGAAGTTTAAAGCAGAGTTTAAAAACACATTTAAATGCACAATCAGCAAAAGAAAAGTAAAGATTTCAAAGACTGAAGGCTGAAGCTTTAACAAGCAGTCTTCATACATGGAGAAATATTACAGTAACGGTTATACTTAATGTTCCTCTAGAACCCGGAAAAGTATTTAAGCTTAGCTATAACACATTGGATATAGGTACTGGGTCCCCACATTGTCTCCATTCTATGTGATCAAAGGGTACTCTAAGGTACTGGCTGCTCAGACACATTATAGCAGATCCCCCCGCTGCTCCATGAGGACAGGCGCAGTCACTGCACAAACTCCCAGCTCGCCAGGTCCTGTCTCAGACAGATATTGTACTTCTCAAAACAGAACACAGGCTTTTAGTGATAGGAACCCAGGTAAATGGACAGCTAAGTTCATGTATCCTAATTCGGGTTGAAAAGTTTTCCAGCAACTGCAGAATTTAACTGCTGGGCACAGAGGCAGATGAGGTCCAGGCCTGTGAAACCCATTTTGGTTGGTGCTGCTAGAAGAATGTTGATAAGCAATGAAAACTATACAGCTAGAAAAATGGATTTAGCTTAGATCATAAGGAATGGGAGGACTTTCCACTTAGAAGCTTTCTGTGCCTGGAGGTCCTGAGTTTTAGACACCAGTGAGTTCACCTTGTCCAGCCAGGTGGATTCTTGGCTGGTCACATGATCTTTCCTCTGCCTTTCTCTCTCTGGAGAAGGTTTCCATCAACTTATGAAGGAGTAATAAAATACTTCCCTCGTGTTACGTCCCAGCATCTCCCGAGGGTCCCTGTGGAGACTGCTTCTGAACTCTCTTGAACTGCTCCTTCAGCTTTCTATGTTGCTCCACCTGTTACCAAGGCAAGAGCTGTCTCCTCTCCCTTTGGCATGGAGCCTTTCTTGAACTTGAAAACCACAGTGTGTGCTTCCTTCAGCCTGACCCTTGTGAAACTCTACCTCAGTTTCTTTGTAAGACGGGAGAATAATAAGCCTTACCTCAGAGCATCTCATGAGAATTCAATGAATCAATGCATGTATAACGCAATGAGATCAATGTCTAATATGTAGACACTGTGGTTGCTGTCATTAGCGTAATTAGGGCAGTCGTTCTCATTTAATTTTTAAAAAAGGGATCCCCATCACTACAAGGTGTCCCTCCCTAGGAGTCTTATCTCTTTCCATTGCTCTGTCTTACCCTGATAATCAAACCTCAAACAAGACTCCTCCCTCAGATGCTGCACTAAGACCCTGGGCGGATGGTGTGTGTGCCCCAGAACTAGAGCAGCAGCTGAACCCTTGAGGACACTGAGCAGCTCCCAAACAAGACCACATTAACCCTAGAGCTTCTCAAGACACAAAGCTCAGTGTCTGTGCTTCCTCTAACACTAAATCCCCCTTTCCTGCCAGGCAGTCATGTTCAAACCACTTTCCTCCTACCTTGATATCAGTGCTGAAGTTGCTGATTTTGTTGCAGCCTGCATTTTCCAAGTGGTAATTAGCCCACCTCAGCAGGAGTTCTTCGGGTGAGAGCTTCATCAAATCCTCCAGGCTCTCTCCTTCTCTCAAAAGAGCAATCAGAGCTGAGGAAGCACAAAAACGAAACAAAAATAAATTCAAGGGATGTTTGGGGGGATTTGTCTTAACTTTCATAGCTCTGTTGGAAAGCAAAAGACAGCAGCAGTAGCTCTCTGGGGCAAATGTGCTAATAACCTTTTCAACAGAACAAACACTCCAGCATTATTTCCTAAAAGAAGCTTGGACTATTGTGAGCTCACTTACTATCCCCATTTTCTAGATGGAGAAGACAAGACACCAGTGAATCTCAGCAATATGCCCAAGGACACAAGGACACAACCAAAAGAATAACCTTGAATACTAGCCCAGAATGCTCTGCTGGATCAGTGAAACCACGTTTTATGACTTGACAACACTTTTGCTCTTAAGAGATCAATTTTGCAATGATAGTGTTTTCTTGGCTCATCCTATAGGTGTTTTATGTTTCAAATCCTTACCTGCTTATAATTATAGCAACTCAACACTGTATGCAGCTCTCCTCTGTTTTCCCCAGATAAATATTTTTTGCTCAGTTAGAAGGTTTAAATTTAGCTGATTTGAATTTACAAATCAATATTCTTTTTCCTGGGCTTTAAGATCTCTATTTGCTCTTGTATATTATGATTAATATGTTGGTTTTAAACTGAATTCTCAGGTTTCCTCATGATTGTGATTTGAACGTATAAATAAAAATATGTGTAACTGAAGGTTAAGATTTGCTTATATATTTCACTTTGGTAAAAGGTAACAGTGTGGTTTCTGTGGGCCTTACCAAGGTCTGCTACCTCTATTTAAGCAACTGTGATGCCCCTATTTAAATATGGACAGGATGGTGAGAGAAGACAAAGGCTGCCGGCTTGACCTTTAGTTCAGACTTTCAAAACCCCAGGTGTAATTTTCTCTAGTCATTTTCTAATTTTTTATATTTACTGTATATATTTAAAATATATAAACTGCCTTTATGTACTTATCTTGATATACACAGTGATATGACTGCTGCAGTCAAGCAAATTAATATCGCTTCACGTCATAGAGTTAACTTTTGTCTCCTTTACTCTTGTTGGTACGAGTACCTAAATAGCTACTTTTTTTGAAAATCACCAACATATAATTAACTACGCTCATCAGCATGTACATTATCTCTCTAGTGTTATTTATCCCACATAAATGCAATTTGGTACTGTCTACCCATATCTCCCTCTGTAGTCTTTATGAGAAATAAACCAAGTCTCTCTCAAACTGGGGCTTATATGGAAGTACATGAATGTGACCTGCCTCACAAAATACAAGTTAGAACCAGTCTTACTTGCTAGAAAGTGTCTAAAAGGCAAAGTGATTCTAAAAGAACGCTCTCAAGGGTGAAGTCCCAGACAGACCGAGCCGTACGCTCTAACCAAGCATTACTATTAGGCTGTGGGCCTAAAAAGCTTTCGGTCTGTCATTTTTTAATTAATTAAGTTTAGTGGTACATTTTATGTATACATAATGATCACATTCATTATAAGGAATTTGCACCTGTACATGATATAACTTGATTCTTTTTGAATTCCCATTCCCCTGCCCTCCCTTCAACCCCTCTTCCCTTCCTTATTTACACATGGAAACAAAACAGTGCTCTGTCATTTTTTACAGTCTGGTTTCTGTGGATAGAATCTGTTACATTAATATCACGGATTCAATACAATTGTGCGGTTGTCCAAACTTGAGATTTCCTGACACCTTCCTCCTCCTCCAGTCCCCAGCACAGGCATTAACAAGAAGCCAGGCCACGCACAGCTTTGAGACTTTGCTCTTACCTTCATTTCTGCTGAGCTCAATGTCAGCAAACAACCCAATCTTGATGACTTGCCACAAAAGTCCCAAGACCAGATATGGCTTCCCCTCCTTCAGGTCCTCAGCTCCTATGTTAACCACATGGCACCCGATGGCAGAGGCAGAGTTCAGAGCCAAGTTCAAATTTTCCTGAGGGAGGAAAGTGTGTAAGTTTGAGTCTGTCGCTTTGCAGATGCCAAATGATGACTGCTAATTAGAAAGAGCAATGCCTTTGTTTTGGAATGTTCACAGGCGTAGGCATGGTCCTCGCTAGCTTTAACTCTGAGGGAGAGCAGTGGAAATACCGTGCCAAGAGGAGAAAATCCAGTAACTGAGGCACAGAGCTTGCGCAGTGACCATGCGATCATATCATCACTGAGCGGAAGGCCCTTCTTGGCCAGCAGGAAATTAATGAGTCATTTCTTTGTTCATCTAGCTTTGTGAAGAAGACTACACACTGCACCTCTGCATTGGCCAGAAAGAAAGGGGCACCTTTGAGGGAAGTCATGCCCTGTCACTGGCTATTGTTAATAAGACAATTGTTGATATAAATTGAGGTCATAAAAGCAACAGAATAGCTTTTTGACTTGCAGATTGGGTATTGTGGGAATGAAAAAGATAAAAAAAAAATTCCTGGAAAAGATGGAGGAGTTTTTAATAGGACAACTTACTGAATATCCATTGTACCTAGGAAACTTGAGTACACACACATACACACACACACACACACACACACACACACACACACAGAGAGATTATAGGTTCCTATGACCAGCAACAGTGCATGTATGTAGCACACACAGTTGGAGTACAGCCAATAAAGTTTTCAACCTAGAGTCTATGTACTATTCTTAGATCCATAAAGGATGAGGAGGAGATGTCTGTGTCAGAGACATACTGAATTTTTTATGATGAAAATAAAACAAAGGCCATCAGAATTGAGGATTTTTATCCTAGTGTTCAAATGGTAAATGAAAAATGCTGCTTCTACTTATGGTCAACATTATGAATATATATAACATTCACTGCTTCCCTATTTATTTAATCACTGTTCTCAATTAGGTTACTACTTCTGTTTAAAAAGTAAAGAGGGTCCCTCAAACTGAAACAGGAGATACTGAACTGTTCATGACTTAGGAAATAAGAGATGGTTTCTGAGCAAGAACATTACAATATTGCTAGAACATTGAAACATAAGACATATATACAGCTTACTTTCTGCTGGTTATTCTTCCAGCTAATCAGTAGATTGAAGGAATAAAAGCAAGTCATATTTATCACATTTGTGGCTGTGGCCAGCATCACTGTGAAGGCTGCCAGAGCACTTCCCGGTTTTCACCCTCTCACTTCTTGGAAAAGCTCATCTCTTCAGCTAAATGTTAAGTATTTGGCATCAACTCAAAGATAAATTGCTAGGGAAAGTTTGAGGCCAAACTTTAGCCAATGTGAACTTTATTTCTAAGTGACCACCCAACTACTAACACCCGCCCACCTCCTTTCTTACCTGCTGTGTTAGTAAAAGACCATATGGAAATGTGTCCTTCTATCCCCACTAGCTATAACAAGTCACCAGCCCAAAGTCTGGGTCTGAGGAATGTCTGAACTCCTGCAAAAAGGTGGCTCAGCAGTGACGGTGTTTATTGCTTCCAAGCCAGTCATACATTAAGAGGAGGGGGCGAGACATACCTGAATGGTGAAAGGGGTGAGTTTCTTTTTGTTGATTGTTCTCTCATCAATTGTGTCTGGCACTGACAGGTTGATCATCTTACTGAAGGAGAAACAATTAAATGAAAGAAGACAGGATTCTGAGTAACAAAGCCCAGTACCATTGAGTTCAAATTCTAGCCATACTATAATTGAACATATTGGCAGCATAATCTATGTAGTCAGTGTTCAGACATAAAATCATCCACGTGACTATGTCTAGATTCAAACTATCTGTGAGAAAAGATAATGTTCCTAAAGCCATAGTAATACACTGAGGTAAAATATAGGATCCCACTTCATTTGCTCACCTAAAAAGCTGCAAAAGTACCCCGGTTCCCTTAGCATGTTAGGAAGTTCTAGGTAGATAAGCAAAGCAAATTCCCCCATGAATACTTCTAACTTCCTAGCCATGAGAACTGTACTCACTGTATAAAAGATTACAGATACACTGCTGAGCTTATACAGTGCCTACATTTTGATTTAGTACCTCATCAATACCTTTAACTCAGCATCCAATTGCTTTTTCATATCCTTCTCTAGTCAGTATTCAACCAGAGCTTTATCAGTTCCTCCAACCGAGTATCTAATACATTGATTAAATATCCAAAGCAAGCAATTATTTGTGAAAAACTGATTTTACCCAGGTTAGTAAAACAGGACCTAAAAAATAAATTCCCTTAGGTCACCTCCAGCTTATTTAAAGAAACAACCAAAAGGAATAATAGCAAGATAAAAAGTGACGATTATGACTGTGACTATTTCCATTTAATGAGAAGAGAAATAGGCATTAACAGTTTTTCTTAACAGTTATTAAACTACCATTTTGTATGTGATTGACGTTTTGAAGTATATTTCCATAATTTTGCTTGTATATGTTCATACACATGTATATGTATATTTAAATAAAAGGCACTGTACAACAACTAAAACAAAATAATCTCCTAAAATCATCATTTGAGAAATATGAAACCAGTACTAAACTAGTGAAGCTCTGGAGATGGTGAAGGAGAGAGGGAGATAAAAACATATACTGTATCTCTTTCCTTGAAAAGCTTCAAGCCCAATTACAGAGACTAAATATATGGCTGTGAAAAGCTATGCAACAGTCCAAAGCAGAACATTATGAGACTGTAATTCCCACAGTATTCAAATGGTATGTTCTCTAAGAATTCCATAGAGGAAGAGATCACTCAAAGATGGGATAGGCCAGAAAATATCATGGTGAATGGATTTGCACAGAAGGAAAGGGTGAGAAGGCCATTCTTAAAAAGGAAAAGAACCGGGTGTGGTAGCACACCCCTGTAATGCCAGCACTCGGGAGGCTGAGGCAGGAGGATCATTGTGAGTCTGAGACCAGCCTGGGTTACAAAGTGAGCTCAAGGGCAGCCTGAACTGCATAATGAGACCCTGTCTCAAAAAAAAAAAAAAAAAAAAAAAAGAAAAAGAAAAGAAAAGGCAAAGCCCCAGCTGCAGAGTACATGGGGACGGGAGTTGTTTTTGCTGGAGCCCTCACTCATGTCAAGGTCCTCTCAGTACCTTAGGCTGGGGCCTGGGGAGTACAACTAACTCCAAGGAGGTGGAGGAAAGACCACGGTGTATGTTGGGTGCCAGACTAATAAAGCAGGACTTGATCTTAGAGTTTTATTTTTATTTCATGTTTAGCAGCAGAAGCTCTTAAAAATAAAATCTCATGATTAATAGATAAAATACCCAAAGCAGAATTGCTGTGGTTGAAGCAGATGAGAGAGACTCAGATCTTGTTTGCCCATTTTTCCCTTCAATCCCTGTGCTCACTGCATACTAAGTGCCTCCCATCATCACCTCACTGATGCAATGGTCTGTGAATGCGGAGAAGCTGCTGACACGAGAGCTAGAGAAGCAGTTTTAAAGACACTAACCTGAAATGACCATCCCTGTCTGGAGGCCTTCTGTGAAGAGAGTACATTGCCCCTGGCCACGTGCCCTCCCTATTTCCTGGTATATTTCTGTGTACTACTCAAAACTCCTTTGCCTCAGCTTAGCTTGCCCTGGATTACTTCAATCCCCCTGCTGCTGTTCTCAAAGCTATGGGCTACCACGGGAGAGTGCTCAGATGGAGCAGAGCAGCACATATGCCAAAAATAGCCGCCTCTAGTCTCGTGTAATGGCGCACACCTGTAACCCCAGCACTCCAGAGGCAGAGGAGGGACGACTGCAAGGTTGAGCCCAATCTGGGCAATTTAACAAGACACTAACTCAAAATTAAAAAACATCAGGGATATATAACTCAGAGGAAGACCCTAGGTTCAATCTCCACTACCACAAAAACAAAATAATTGTTTCTGACTGTATTACTGGATGTTTATGTGTCTGCTCATCTCTATATTCCCCTGTCCATCCAAGCAGTGACAGTTTTATATTTTTCATTACAAATTGCTGCTGAGACTGGTTTTCTCTTTGGCCCTAGCCAAATGAAAGCCCACAAAAGCATTCCTAGTACAGCTGAGCACCAAAGGAAGTAGGCCTAGGACACATACAGTGAATTGTTGACATTGCACAAAATGGGCAATTCTTTGGAAACTAAGAAGGAAGTTTTATTTACCAAAGGACAATGCCATCTCCAACAGCATTAAAGAGATCGTTGGTGTTTGGATTCATTGGGATGACATGCTGACAGTCAGGATCATTTTCCAGGGCTTTGTTTATCCAGTTGACAAAGGCATACTTTTCTTCCTCTGCAAGTAAATGATTAAAGTGGCTTATTTGCAAGGTGAAAATGTGATAGAAACATTATCCACCAGGACCTCAGATGCTCAAGCCCAGAAGTCACATTACAAGGTTACCCAGCCCATTACCTTACTGTCTCACTGTTTATTGACATTTAAACGTCTCAGATCATTTGGGGAAAAAAGACACAAAATCTATGTTCTTTACAAGTCAAAAAATATACCAAGCAGATTTAGAACAAAACAATAAAAATGCATATATACTATACTTAGAAGCAAATATACATTTATATTTTCATATGTAGAAATAATAAACATGTTTATATAGTTATAATTTAAATATAAATGTGGCCTAATGCTTACAGGATGAAACTTGGGGGTCTGCCTATACCCCTGCTGACTTAAATCTTGCATACCCATGGGCAATCCTTATAATATTTGTGAGCTTCTTTATACAACTATAATGAAATTCTGTGAAACTAAGTACTCGTGATGTAATTTCCCTTTCCTATCAGTAAAGCTGCCAGGAGTTTCTCTTAAAATTTTAGTAGAACTTCTAATTATGCCTTATTTCCTAGTACTGCATTTTCCAAATTGTGTGTTGCTGAAAACAAGTGTCCCTCAGAGAAATTCTGATGCACAAAAACTTAGGAAACACAGTGTAACAAAAAGAGTAAACTTTGCCTTAGCAACTATAGGCAATATTTTTTTATTTTAAAGAGAACACTAGTAAACTACCATCAATGTAAACAAAGACAAAACAAAGCAAAAACAATAAAAATGATACAGGGTTTCAGAACAAAATGATAGTAATTAACAGTAGCCGTTATATTACATACTGTTATCTTCAACTATGTTGCTCAGATTACCAGATGTAAGAATGCAAGATTAATCAAATCACTAAACAGAATAACAAATAAAAACAAAAGAAACATTAGAAGTGATACAGAGTTTCTCTAGACAAGATGGGAGGAATTCACCAATGGTTGTTATATTGCATATTGTTGTCTTCAAATTAGTTGTTCAGGTTAACAGATATAAGCATACAAAATTGGTAAAAAAAAATGTAAAAAATTAAGCATTAACTGTTCCTTTCAATAAGCCATTAGACATCAGCAGTACAGTTATCCCAGCTATCCATACATATATATATATATTTTTTTTTCCCCTTCTTTCTTTTTCTGCTTTCCCTCATCTCAGTTGTTCCTTCCTTTGAGCAGTTTCTTTCCCTTTCATATTATCTATTGTACATTTTGGGTTTTATTTACTCTTTCAGGTTCTTACACTAGGGAGATAATACAATGTTCACACATGAGGGTCCGATTTATTTCACTTATGAGTATGGTTTCTAGTTGCATCCATTTACCTATAAAATGTAGGCAATATCTAACCACAAACTGATTAACTAATGTTTTAAAGAACCCAGTTTGGGAAATGTTGGCTAACTATACTGTTTGGACTATTTAAAAGTTTCCATTGAGGCTGTTGGATGGCAGCCTCCAGAATAAATGTACCACTTTCTTGCAAATCAATGAAAACATGGTTTTTTGATTACTCAATAGGCATTAAAAAAATCATTATGTGGAAGACAAGAGAAGTAGCTAATTTTGTCCATGCAATTTACAGAAGGGTTACTGCAGCCTTTAAGGTATTTTAAAAATGTTTATGATATCACTTAGTTTGGACCCTCCTGGAGCTAGGGCTCCTCTTATCTCACATTCCTAGAAATGACTCACTTACAGGAAAACAGCTGGTGGTCCATAGTCATGCTTTTTATGTTTGTTTTCACCCTTTAGGTTTGAGTCCCAGGTTTAGAATCTGTAACCCCAGAAGGCATGGATCCTTTACCCTCAAATTTCTCAACCCCCCAACACCATCTTCACCACCATTCCCACCCACCGGTACAGCTCACCTGAGTAGGAGTGCTGGGTGCCGACGCTAGACTGTTCTGAGGTTCCACCAATGGCACAAATGCCCTCCTTCTTATTGATTGCTTTTCTAAACGTCTTGGCAACCTCTGTGCTTTTCAGGCCATGGAAAACCTACAAAAATATAATGTAGTTTTAGAAACCAAGCAGCAGTCTAGAAAATCACAAAAGAAAGCATGTATAACGATGAAGCAAGGAGGGTAGTGATGTCTCCTGGAGCTTTTTGAAACTGAATTAAAGAGCAAGTTTCAAATGCATCTCCTTGTACTCCATCTCATACTCACCTTGATAAACTCATCAAAACTGATCCTCCCATCTTTGTCCAGATCACCTGTAGCCATCAGATTTTCTGTGATCTCTCTTACTCTGTACCCAGGCAGAGGCAAGCAGGCAGCCTTGAACAAGTCATTCAGCTCGTTACAGCTGATGTAGCCATTGCCATCCGTATCTGGAATGCAGAAACAAAGTGGGGCCTCAGAGCAATCTAGGCACAGCATTAAGGGAGGTCAGGGGAGGCTGGACGGGAGGTGAGGAGTGGGGGAGTGATGGTTCAAGAGTTGAGGTCTGACCTTCTGAAAGGGTTAAAAGTCTCACAAGAGGCCTGCTGCTACTGGATATGGGCCCTAGCATCACTTTCAGCATCTACAGTAAAAGAGTCATATTTCAAAACAGAGGTTTCGGCAATGGAATCTGAGAGAATACTTATAGAAACTGTTCACACAGACTCAGTGACAAAGGGTGGAAGAATGCATGTCATAGTACTAAAGGAAAAGAACGGAAGCAGACAATATATAAAGGATGAGACTCAGGGGCGCACTGTGAAAAAGCCACAGGTGGGACAGAGCCCATGGTCCACGTTCGATAAAGCAGTTTTCTTAAAGCATATCTTGCAAAACCAAGTTCCTCTCAGCGCCCTTGGCCAACCCCTCTGGTCTCTTGTCACTGTTGCTATTTTGCTCTCGTTACCATTTCGTTGAATCGATCATAGAGGAGAGAACTGTGCAGCCGAGGTACCAGGTCTACTTACCCACTTTGGCAAAAGCCTCTCTGAGCTCCATCATTTCCTCGTCGGACACTGATCCTCTGGCCATTTTTTACTGCTGTATGTAACAGATCTTGGAAGGAGAAGAACACATGGATGACTTTTATGCTTCTTGGTTCTTAAGAGTACCATGTATACAAACAACACCATTTATAAAATGAGGAAATGTTCCTCTGTATCCCGCAGGACTTACAACTGCTATAAGTCAGAAATAGGCTTTTGCTCACCCCTCAGGGACTGGTCTCCAAGGACAGTGCTCAACACTTCCTCCTCTCCCTGTATACACAGACTGCTCCTCACATCAAGAGGTAGAGCTGACTTTCTACTCCTTGAACCTGGGCTGATTTTGTGATTGCTCTATTACAAGATGCTGGAAACAGTGCCTACAAGTGGGAACTTCCGCGTCCTTTCTTGGGGAATGCCTGTTCTCGGGATTACACCCCTGGGCACCCAACCACCGTGATGTCAGATGTCCAGACCACATGAAGAAGCAACAGTGAAGGAGAAGTGGATGCTCTGGTTACCCATCCTTGCCGAGCACCCAGCCAGCAGTCAGCAATAACTGCCAGCCCCTTGATGAGGCCATTCTGAGCTGGTCCCTTTGAGCTCCCAGAGGACCACAGACCCAGCCAACATCACAAGGAACAGAGAAGAAATTGCCCAGCTGTGCTTGGCCAACCCAGAGGATAAAACTTCTAAATTTTGAGTAGTTTATCACAAAGCAATAAACAACTAAAACATTTAACTTCTACAGAAGTTCTTTTTAGAGATAGCCTCATGACCATATTTTAAATTAATATGCTTGGCCAAACCAACAGGTATATTTTATAAATTCAAAGGGAGCCAGTCAAAATTCTATGCATATTTAGGAGTGGAGGAAAGGAAGCTGATTCTCTAAAAATTTCTATGTGGAAGTCTGAGGTACTTTGTAGGTGTTTTGTTCTCTATCTTGTTGAAAAACTTGCTAGAGTTTGAACAATTTCCTGTTTCCGGTGCATTGCTGATGCCCTCTAGTGTGAAGAAAGAGAATCATACAGAAAATGGATTATATTCTCCAAGCCCCTAGCTAATCCACATACCCCAGCATAGTTCAAATGGGAGTTCCACTGCAACTTACCCAATTTCCTGGTAGAGAGTTTATAAATGGAGCAAAGGTGTGGAGGATGGAGTATTTCTAAGTATAATTATATTTTGGACATTCTAGTAAAACATCCTGATTTATAAACATATTTTCAATTTCTGACTGGATGTTTTAAATTGATTTTCTTTTTAACATTTTTATATCACTCTACATTATTGTACTCATTCTCTATAGAAACCAACAGTTGCATGGAAAAAGAAATAGTTTTAACACTGAAATCTACAGGTCACAATTGCATAACACTCAATTTTGTAAATCCACATCTACTACCCACCAACTGACTATCCTGCCACATACAAATACCAGTGTTTCAAACTTTTGTTCCCCACACATCCTTTAGTTAACATAAACCTCCCATGTAACTAAAGTAAACACTCAGTACCATAAAGAGTAAACACTCAGTACCATAAAGAGTAAACAGATGAAAATAACATCTCTGAGAATATTTGGTTGAAAAACACAAAATATTCACCTGCTCTAAATTATATTCTGACCTCAACAACTTATTCATTGATCTGAACTCCAGAGAACATGGTTTGAAATATCATGGAATTATATATCTTATTACATTTGAATTTATTTTAGAATCCATTTTTATCAATTAAAGTTGTATTTATTATTTGCCTTGTCTATCTATGAAGTATTGGTCCATTGGATTCGCTAAAGAAGACAGAAACTGTTGAAGGCTTAACTATGTAAACAAACAGAATCTCATTCACACATCACAATACCTCTAAAAGATAGGTAGAGGTATTATCTGATTGATCTCTCCCAATGTCTCTCTCTTTCTTGTGCTGGGGATCAAAGTCAGGTCCTCTACAGTGCTAGCATGTACTTCCCCACTAAGATGCACCCTCAGCCCATAGCATCATTAAACTATGTCCTGCCAGGAACCATTTTAAAGCAGTTTGCAAATCAGGGATAAATTTTGGAGCTTTGTTTCTAAAACATTGCCCAAGTAATAAATCTAAGAGGACAAATCTCAAGTCATTCATCTTGACCATATCTAGCTACTAGTCTTTCAGTAAGCACTTAAATTTATTAAATCAATAGTTGTAGAACTTCTAGACATTTGGCCAAAGAAAGTAGTGGTTGTTCACTTTGTTTAAATTGTAAGATTACTTTTTAAATCGTAAGAAAATCAAATAATTCCTAAAGCTGAAAAGGCCACAATTCCTGTGCATACCTTAGGTCACTGAGTTCTGAGTGTCTGTTTAAAGATAGCTGGTATTTTCCAGGTCAATACTGACAGGGAAATGACCGGCTCAAGTTTCCTGAAGTATGAATATAGAAACCATCTGTGGGAGTTGACTGTGGAACATAGTGCTAAAGAATTTACAGGACGAATTACGTCCTATAAAGTAAGTATATGAGTGTGAACGGAACTTTCCCAGAGGGGCTTTGTTACTGGTCATGAAAGAAGCAGTAAGGAGGAAAAGGGGGCCTGCCCAGAGTGAGACACTTGTGGGCCTCGATCATTTCTAAAAGGCGGTAACACTGTCCTCATCAGCGTCAGGATGCAGTACACTGATGCCCAGTTATGTAATCTGCAAGGTTCAGGGGGCATCTGCACCCCGGAGTCACACCACAAGGGACTCTTTACAGTGTGCCCCACTTTTCCTGCAACTTGACTCTGTGCTTAAAGTGACACTGGATAGTCAGGATTCCTATTCCTAGCTCTACCTCAGTAATTCTGGTGCATACCCAGGGGGAAATTGTACAGCTTCCAAAGTTTTCAAAAACCTATGAGTAATCCAAAATATACCGGCTACAACAACATGAATTTTCAATCTTTAGCATTAGACAGCAATGACCAAAGAAATGAAACATAGAGTATACAGATTTCCACAGCAAAATAAAATCCCCACGCATTTTTAAAGCTCTGTGATATCCAAGTGCCACCATCATATCCAAAGCCAGAGTGATATCAAAATATCCAAAGAAAAGAGCTTTACTTTTCCTTAATATTGTCACCTTTTTTTTTACAAAGTAGACCTTATAAAGGGAATAGAACTTTGAGAAAAAGCCTAATTTGTACACAAAGAACAGTTCTAAAAATATATTTAATATATGAATATTTTAGAGAAATAAAATTATAAACTGCCTCAAACATAGATGGCCATTTAAGGGACTCTTATGAATCCTTTATTAAGTTAAAATCTCTAAATTTTCTTCTTCTTTTCTGGCAAGTACACTGATTCTCCCAAAGGCTGCTTTAGGGTACAGAATTCTTATCTTCTCAGCCATGGATGGGAAGGCCAGGGGAGGAGGCAGGGAGGGCCCTTCAAGCACAGATGTAACGGCTCTTCTCTGATACAATCTGGGCCATGTCAATGCTCAGGGAAAGCAATAGGCCAGATCACTCTAAACCTGATTATCTTGACAGAGCTCTGGAAGCTTCTGTGGTTTGTCCACTGAACTGAAGGGGTTCTGAAGCAATGTAGAGCCAGGGAACAGAGCCCAATTCTGTCATCACCTAGTTACCCCCCCACACACACACACACACTCCTAATTCCCTGGTTTTCTAACAAGTTGCCAAAACCAGGTGGAGCATGAGGACATCTCTCAGTGCTTCAGCACCTCTCTCCACCCCTGTGTTTCAAACAGTGATATTCTGGATATTAACATTTTGAAAATCCACAGCTACTGTACATGTCACATCATACCCCAAGGACTTTAAGATCCTTACTTCCCCTGATAAAAGCTCAGGGTATTTCAAATACATCTTTTTGGGAAAAGTTGAATTATCATGGCCTAGTTATCACATCAATATCAAATGTTATTCATTCATTTTTCCCTCTGCTGAGCTATCAGCGAAGCACTCCTCTGGCTGCTGGCGTGGGGGTACAAGCACTGGGGACACAAAGACTGGGCCTTCTGAAGCCCACAGTTCAATGCCAAGCTTCAAATGCAACACATAGATTATGGCTACCTTAGTGAAAATGGTTAACCCAATGGAAAATGTTCTCAAAATTAAAAAAAAAAAAAAAGAACATGCAAAAAGGTTAAACATAGAATATAGGGGACAGAAAAAGACTAGATAAAAGACATTATCATAGCAACTTATCAAAAAATAAACATATCAAATGCATAAGTCCCAATCAGCCCATGCAATACGGATATAATTAACACACTTGAAGATCTCCAAAGGAACCCGAGCTGAAATAGGCAGGGAGCGGAGGAAAGTGCCCAGTTGGGCAGTGAAGAGGCTGAGGCTGCCACCTGCTGGTGTAACCTCAGACTCTATCGTGTCCTCTGGGCCTCCGTTTCCTCATCCATAAATCAAGAGAAGTTCCTTCCATGATAAAAGTTCCCAAATCCTATGCACTAGCTGACGAGTACACGTACAAACTAGAACCAGGTTAGGGCGCATTGCAAATGAGCCAAGAAACAGCTGCTGTCACTCCGAGCAGTCGGGGCTGTGGCCAGAGGGAGATGTCTCCTGTAAAGTACGGGAGGTGGATTCCAGGCCCCTCCCCAGCCTATCCACAGGGGCTTCAGGCTCTCTTCTTGCTCTTACCTCAGCAGCGGGCAAGACCTTGTCCAGAAATATCTCCTTTTCAACCCCAGGAAGGTCCCTCGTTCTCAGCAGCTCAGCAGAGGGAAGTTACCAGAGCAGCACGTGGGACCTGTTTTCTGGGACATCGCCACACAGGGCTTAAGGCACGCTGACCCAGATCACTCCTGGTTTCTAGGCAAGAGAGTGTGCCAGCTGTCCCAGAAAGAGTCACCCACTATTTGCTTAAAAATATCCAAATAAGGAAATTCTACAACCTTTCTAGTGTCTCACATCCCTACCTGGTAACCTAAATATTTTCAGATATGCTTAAAGTTCCCTCTTTCTTGGGGTATTCCCAGAGGGACTTGAAGGAGCTGTTCAGTTCATTCAGATATCAACACCTGTGCTGGGAATGGCCAGCACATCTGTTTTC